ATCAGTATACTCTTCACAGCTCTGCTAGACTTCTGCTAGATCTCCATCTTTCACGAAAAAGTATTGATATTTCATTGCTGAAAAAATCTAACGTCTTCTTTAGTTGTTTTGCTAGAAATCGTTTTTTTTTTTGAATAGGGCAAGCTAAGGGCAGATTTGTGATGCTGCCTCAGTATAGAGTGAACAAAAATCACGGTGAAAAGAGCGTTCTTGGGTCCTTCGATTTTAATAGATGCAACCAGTCAACAGATTGAGCGTTGTGCAAAATTAATGCAGCAGAACTTTCCGAAATTGATGCATTTAATAAATAGCAATCTGAATCTGTCAATTTGAACCTAATGGATCAATTATCCAGCTTCTCTCTTCTTGCCTCGGCATGTTAGTTGCAAATGTGTTTGTTACGACCAGTTCTTGGAGAAGATTTATTGCAGGAAATAAACTAAACCTCACTTAGTCGAGGGTATTATATACACCTCGGTGTCAGTGATGGCACAAGGTCATAAACAATCTTCATTTCCACAACAGTGTTCTTTGTTCTATGCCTAATGAGGTTGCTGGGTGGGACTTTCATCCAGTGGTTTAGCGAATTACTTTGCGTGGAGCATGCTAAAAAACGATTGCCTGCTCTAAGTATCATTGAAGCATCGATGAATTGAAGAGAAGCATGGGGCAAGCTCGATACCACCTACCTACACTACTCCTAATGCGTCCCTGGGGTGGCTTTGCTCGTTCAGGCAGTTTTTGCAGAGCTTATAATTTGTAAAAAGCTGCAGCATATTTGAGATGTTTTGTTTTTAGTGGCCTCTTCCCATTTAAGTTCGCATTACAAGCTATTCGATCATGTGGTTTTTGATTATTTGTTGTGCTTTCTTCACTAATATTCAATTGAAGTAGTAAACCTGTTAGAGTATTGGCATTTCAGCTATATCAGAGATGTGACCTTCTGAGCCGTGTCTATTTCTATTTCGTTTTTTTTCTAAATGTCCATCAAGACAACAAAGTGTGTAGCAAGAGGTTACCGAACGACGCCACGGCCGCATGAAGTTAGCTTCCCATGCCGAATAACAACACTCTATAATACTTTCTGCTCAACAGCTGATAGATATTTTATTCATGCCACCATGCCATAGCAGACTTCTATCGGAAGACGTTCAGTTTTCCTTCTTAGGCCAGGTCAGCAGGGCTGCGCGATCATAGCAGCCTGAAGTTGTACTTGGGTTTAGGCTAAGGCTTATGCTTACCGTTGGCATATGCTCAAGCCTATGATTGGGCCTAATCTTAGTCCCAGGCTTTCCTCGAGCAAATAAGTTTGTGTTACTTTTATGTGGCCTAATGAGAAGGAGAACTGAAACGCACCTAAATCTTATTTGTCTATCACCTAATCACCTATCATTGTAGGCGTTTAGGTTCTCACCTTATCTTTTATAGGAATCCCGTCTTCGTGCACGTGGGACGGAAAAGGAAGAGGACATTGCTAGACGTCTAAAGCATGCTAGAGAAGACCTTGCGGCCGGTGAGTTTCTTCCACACTCTTTGCAAATGCTCTTGCCGTGGAAGTCCTTTTTTTCTGATTATCCGCGTACAAACAATCATTTCAGTGGAAAAAGATCCGGATTTGTTCGACCACATCATTATCAATGATGATTTGGAGAGGGCGTACAAAGAGTTTATCCATATAATTGAAGAGGATCTTATGTCGATTTCGAATGCGTGACAAGATTATTGATTCTATCTTCATGGTTGTTTTGCTGAACGCTCTCGTTTTTAACCGTAATTATTGTTAAATTGATTAATAATTTGGCAAAAGAAGAATTCGAAGTAAAACTTCATATATAATCGAGTCTTCGTCGATTGCATGTGATGTCCAGTTGATACAAGCATAGAGTTAGTGATAAGCTGTAATATGCAATTTTACATTCCTGTCTTCCTCCGTTGTTGATCTGCGGTTATGTTTTAACAATGACCTAGTTTTTTTGTGGGCACAAATGATCATATCAAACTTCCTATCTGATCGGTAGATGAAGTTATGTTCCCTATTTACCTTTTTTATAGTGTAGTTCCCATTAGTCCGGTTTAGTCTCTGAAATGTGCAAAATATATGTTCATCAGGATTCTATAGGTATTTCTGCTCTAATATTCACGTTCATATAATCATCATCTTCATTCGTATTATATTCACGTACTAGGCCTCGTTTCTTTGTATTAGTGAGATTCTCTGGTAATGCGATAAGCTTTACGATTGTGTGCGCGATTCTTGTTTGGTGTTGACCTCTGTGGTTTGTTCATTAATTAGTCGAACGTATGTGAATGAAGGTGTTTTTGCGTAAATGCTTAATGGATTAAACAAAGTTTATATGACATATACCTGCTTTGGAATCTCAACAGCGAGTGTCAATCGTAAACCAAGTAATAATTAATTAATGGATGCCATAAAATTAGGATACTCATCTTAGCACTTTGAGATGGAGGAAGATAGAAGGAGGCGCCATGTGGTTGCGGCTTGGCCAGCCCCTAACAATGCATCAGATTCACGGAAGCACTTTAGGACTAAGCCTTGGAAGAGGAGAGGGAATCCGGATTTCCTAAGCAATTCTCGTTCCTGCGGAATTCGTCCCTTTCACTTAGGCTTAGTTCTAGTGGCTTCCTACGGAATGCCCCTCCCCAGGAGCACATTGCACCCAGAAGGTTTTGTCGAGTATGCAGAGAAAAGATCATTTTTCCCGCAAAATCCTTACTTTCGGTACGTATCAGTTTTTGCTTACAGAGGTACATACATATCTCACGAACCCCTTGGCTTCGGGCAGTTTTTTTAGGCAAAGCAAATGAGATTTGATGCTATTCTTCCCTCTTCACAAGGAAGGGAAGATGGGGCTCAGTGATACTATTTGTGCAGATCACTGGTTCCAACATTTTCGTGAGTGTAGTACCAGGTTCTGCTAACAGGTAACGGGTAACGGTTTTGGATGAACAGATTTGTTATGTTAACTCTACTTATCCTATTAAGACCATTCTTATATGCTGGCCTCACACTAATCAATAAAAATTAGTACAGATAATTTGTAACGTGTGGATGAAAGGTAGCTTTGAGGTGTGAAGTATTGATTCCAGCTTTCATGGAATCCTCCCACTCAATCGAGTTTGTGATATTTTCCACCACGTCTTCCATTTCCATCCAGTTTAGTTGATATCTTCAGCTTGAGCAAAAATGCTTCAGAGTTTATTTTGAGTGAACTTGTCTGAAATGCATTCTCTTTGTGGCAAGCTACTTCACTGGCATGTTTCGATATGTCAAATATTATGTGATCTTTTCTTGGTTTTTGTGCATTTATGTGCTTATGCGATGGTAGGTTTTTGAGATATGGCGACTAATTTTTCTCGCTTGCCTCCACTTCCACCGTTACGTGATTTCATCCATATGTACCGCCTTCGAGCTAAAAAGGTGCTCTCACAGAACTATCTTATGGATATGAATCTTACGAGAAAGGTGGGTTCGAGGTTCACTCATAATAATTCTTCAACCACTTCTTTTCACTCTCATATCTTTAATTCATCTTGAATTCTACTGGTTAATAGTTCCCAGCTCCTTATTCTTGTTTTGTCCATCACGACTGGTCGTCAACTGAAGTTGTCTTTTTGCGCCCTTTTGGACCTTTAGAGCTGGTTTTTCGTATTCACGAGTTAGCAAATCGAATTCCCTATTAGTGTTTCGAGCGTCCTTGGAGAGTTCAGTAACAAAATTCGTACTCAGTGCATAGCTGGGACCACATTTCATTTATGATCAGTGAGTTGTTTATGCTTGTAGTGGGTAATGTTAACTTTTTTCTTTTTTGGTATTACCCGACACGAGGAATAACTAAGCAAATTTTAGTGAGGGAATGATCTTTTGATATGATGGTTGGCGTTTGGATTCAAATCATGGTCTTGTAGCGGTCGCTGCGAAACAAGAGAGCGCGTTCATAGTGGGTCGTCCGATCGTTGCGATTGTTACGATTGGACGATCGATTATGAATGCGCCCATACACGGTTGCAGTGCTTGGGTACTGCATGCCACATATGTAGAGGAGCGGGCTTTCGCTTCATTGGTTGCGCATCTCAGTGCTTGCTGGACAACATTTTGGCTCTGTCTCAGTTCTAGCCCGATCACGCGTTTGTGTCAAGATCGATTCATTGATATTTTTTGCATACTGTATCCTCAGAAGCGACATGCATCCAATAACTGAGACACATTTGCTAGATTACATTTAGATCGTGCGAACAGCAGGTGTTCAACCAGGCGACTGGGTTTGCGAAGTGGGACCTGGTCCAGGTGGTATAACTCGTGCTATATTAGAAGCAGATTGCGAACGGTTAGATGTAGTAGAAATCGACCATCGCTTCATACCTCCCTTAGAGGTTCGTCTAATCTTTCCTCTCGATACTGATTTTTGTCTTTCATTACACTGACGTGATTCCAGCTCCTCGCCGAAGCCTCAGACGATCGTCTTCGCATTCATCGTGCTGATGTATTGAAGACTAACATTGGTGACCTTTGGAATGATGGGGGCTCCCAGAGAGCTTGTGAATGGTCCGATGATCCTCCAAATATGCATATCATTGGAAATCTTCCGTTCAACATAGCTTCACCATTGATAATCAGGTGAGCCGTTTGAGACCTTCTTTCCGCATTTTCTTCTTTTTGTTTTGGGTGATATGTATCTTCGATTGCTACGTAGTTACTCGCTTCCATGTAAACAAACCTGTCTTCTTCCTCCCCATTGAAAAGTGGTGAAGGTCTCATGATAACTCAATTCTGTGTGGTTTCTTTACACCTGCTTCACACTTTTCTATTTTACGTTTCTTCCTTCTTTTCTTAGTTGTTCTCCTTTTCCTCTGCACTGCTTCCGAGCGCTAGATCAACGTCTTCATCAATCGCTGCCGTTTTGGTGTAAACTGCGCTCCGCTTTAGACGAGTAAGGTTTCAATATCTAGGGCTCTCAGGTTTATTGTCCATCCCATCTTTCGTTCAAAACAGCCAACGTTCGGCAAAAATTTGCAGAATCTTTTCAGATTTGGAGCGATTGAACTTTGATATAAATTGGTGGTTTAGATCACTTTAAAAAAAAGAGTATAGCACTTCATATTTTTTACTGAAATTTCCCGCCGCTCTATCCACTACTCTTGCCGAATGTACGATTTTTAGCTGATTTTAAGTTTATGACGTACTATGGTGAACTATTAATTCAGGCTTCTGAAGGATATGTCATATAGACGAGATGCGTGGCGGTACGGGCGAGTTCCGTTGACGTTGACGTTCCAGATGGAAGTCGCCAAGAGAATCTGCAGTCCTATCGACTGTGATTCTAGAGCGCGAATTTCGATTATGGCCCAATATCTAGCCGAGCCGAAATTACTGTTTAGGATTCCTGGTTGGTTAGACTTAGTATTTTTGGTTCTCTTTTACCACGTTGACGACAGCGAGCGTTTCGGCATTTTTTTGACCGCTTGGGACAGGCGCGACTTTGCGAGTGTGGTCGCCTCTTCTCACATCCATAAATTGTGAGTGATAAATATGCAAAAGGGGAACGGTACAGAACCGTTTAGCAATATTCATTGCGTAGAAGTCAATCGGTGGTGTAGGAATGGAATTCCAATAAATCGAAAGACCATGTAGTGGTCCTGAGAAAGCAGGTTTTACTCCTTTTTTGTAGTAGGCGTTAAAAGTGTTTTTGACGTGGTTATTTCCAAAGAAAAAAGCATTTTGCTATCCGTTCAGGTTTGTGATTACTCCTAGTACTCTTTGTATTTACGTGGTCATGAGCTTAAGCAGAAAACGAAGAATGAGTTGCTATTTTCGTGGCCACCTAGAAAACCTTTGCTAAACCTCCTTTTGAGAACGTATGGTGAACCGTGTTGTCCACAGTTATGTCATGATGTGATCCATAGAATAAATGCAATCGATTTGGGAAGAAGACGCGCAAGCGCTTGAAATAAGATGACGATTCTGGTGGCGCACGCAACCGCGTCATGATGTCCGACGTGGTGTGCAAAGTGGGGCGCGCGCTGCGTCACGCTGTCCTCAATGTGTTAATCAGTGGAGGATTGTCATTCAAAACCTTTATTATTCCGTTCAGGAGCATGTTTTGTTCCGAAACCGGATATCGACGTTGGCGTTGTACGTTTTATACCGCGCATACAACCGTTGATAAGTGCTCCATTCGAGGTTCCGTCTTTTTCTTATTACTAGCTGGTTAGTTATCTCTAATTGATTCGAACGTAATTATTATTTGCTCTATCTAGGTTGTCGAAAAGTTGTGCCGACAAGTCTTTCATTATCGACAAAAATACATGATCAAAGGATTGAAAACGCTATATCCAAAAGAGGTTAGCTGGGGTTTTTGCTAGTGATTTTGATTTTACATTGTATGGCCCATGGTACCAGAAGGAAAGTCGTCAATTTCATTGCTGATTCATTTCCGCAGTATTTGAGTAGGCCTCATTCCAAAGGGGTTCCCGGGGCAATAGCTGCGCTGGTTAGAGGCACATTTAGTGATAAGGTCGAGGGTCCCTTTTTAAAATTTAGAACGCGAGGAAATGGCGGTTGCTATTTGGATCATGCAGCCGTGAATATATAAGAGCGGCCATGCTCACTCACCGTAGTGGTATCTGAGTACGCTCCTCGTTATGCCTCTCTCGTGTCCTTCTGTTGTTCTGTGATCGTAGGGTCCACTATCTGTAAATTTGTTTGTCCCAGTCACTCCACCACGCATATCATGAAGAACTTCATTCATTTAGGCATTTCTAGTAGTTTCTCATTTCTTATCCACTAGCAAATCATGTTCCGTATTTGAACCCAGACTTACCCATTTTTGCTCTCAACTCTGCGGCGATATGGAACAGTGTCGCGAAAATTCTCAAATTCAGCCCCACAAATCACAAACATTTGTCTTGTCCTTCTATGTTAGATTCGACCCGCTCTCGGTCTCTTGCCATATCTGGCACCATATTGCGAATTTGGATTTTAGTCCTGCCCATCATGTTGCATGTTGACCTTCCCTCCTTCAACAATCATCCGCTTTTCCCGGTTTCCGGACTCTTTCTGAACCGAATTATGAAGTTTTGTAGCAAATTCCTGCCTACTTTGGTGCGTACCCATCCACCACTAGCAGTTGACCTTATTTAGTTCGTCGAGGACTATCTATTCTTCTCCCGGTCTCCGGGTATTCCTGGAACCGAGGTAGGTTTGGCTACAAACTTCGCCCACTTTGGTGTATGCCCCGCACCCCAATGGCAGTTGGTCTCATTCACATCGCCAACCTCTGTAGACTTTTTTCCCGCTCTCTGGACTGCCTCTGAAATAAATTAAGAAGTTCTGGGGCAACCTTGCCAACTTCAATGGGTGATCCGCATCAATGGTGGTTCACCTTATTTCCTTCCTCGACTTCTTGCCACTTGTTGCCGGTCTTATGAACTTCTTGGAAGCGAGTCATAAGTCGAACTCCGCCTACTGTGGTGCACACCGCACCCACTACTAGCATTTAGCCTCCGCTTTTTCTCCACCTCTATCCACTTTTTTGCCGCTGGCTTCTCGGAACCGAATTATGATGACTTATAGAAAACGCTGTCTACTTCAGGACACGCTGCGCCTATTGTGGGCGGGCTCCGCTCGATGCTGGAAACACTTTAGACATTGCTTCACTAAACCAACTCTTCCTGCTCTGTGGGCTTTCCGCAACCGAGTTATGAAATTGTTTCATTAAATATTGCTTTTGTTAGGGAACACTACTCACCGAAGGTGGGCTCTCCCCAGCTCGATGTGGCTTACCAAGGGCACACCTTTACCCATTTTCTTTTTCCCGGTCTCTGGACTGTTTTGGAACTGAATTTGAAATTCCCGTCTTGATCCACGCCACGCCCGTAGGCGGGGCTTCGCTTGGCTGATGTGTGTTCACTACTTCTCGAAACATAGTCCACCATCTCAACTTGACTCGATCTCTCTAGGCTGATCTCCAGGGAGTTGAAAATTTCGTGCTGGAACGACAGACGAGGGGCTAGTAGTAAATATGATCAATGAAAGAGGACGCATTCATATAGAGGGTGAACTAACGGGCAACAGGTTTTTTTGCCGTTGTCTCTGTGAATAATCACATCAACAGGATGAGCAGCTAATTTAAGCGGGTTTAACAATAAAAGGCAGCTCACTGGAAATTAAGTTGGAGGTGATAATTGATGCAGAAAGGAAGAAATAGCGAAGAAAAATGGCCTAAAACCCATGAAATTGAACCTCTTCCTTGCCCGTTGACTTGGAATCGCGTGTCGGTCCACCCTTAGGAAGCATATCTGTCTCTTCACTAGGTAAGGTTCCCCTTCTTCGACCATGTCCTTATCGTGGAGTGCTTTTTTTAGTGTCCCACTCGAAAATCCTTAAGGGCTTCGCATTACTGGCAAGGTAATCATTGCCGCATTGTTCTCCTTTCAATTTTATTTGGTGATCGTCGCCATAATTTCACAGTGTTTGTGGAGAGCAATAACTATCAGATTATTCATAGATAGCCGACGAAATGGCTCATCAGCTGCTAAAGGACTGTCGTGTCGACCCACTGCTTCGTCCAGTTCAACTCTGGTATCGAGGAATTCGCTGATTTGGCCGCTGGCTATGAGAAACAGTGTAGAAGGTGAGATTGCTTATTCGCTTCCCTGAAATACTTGTTCTGGTTTGCTTTGGAAATTTTTAACGTTGGAATTACGCTATCTCAAGGTACGTGAGCATCCTCTCGGACTGGTTCAGTAAGGGGCAGGGCTTCAGAAAATGGAAAATTGCTTACTCACCTTAGAATCTCTTCTCCTCACTTAAGGCTCACTCCTGTTCTCGACGAAAAGTGACGTTTTACGCGATTCCTAATGCATTTTGACTCCATAGTGCCCTCGTATCTTGCAATATCGCGATTGGAAGCATTCACTGACCAGCGAAGTCTTCCAGGGAATGCTCAGCTTCCTCAAAACAATTTTTTGCATGATATAGAGCTGCGTGCATGGAACAGAGAACTATGTCGTTTTTCATGAGCGAATCCCAAAAAAGGAGCGAAGAAAATTGAACGAACTGCTGTTCTTGAATTCCTTTACCAGTTTTTTAGCCAAGTTCTTCATGAAGATTGCTGATAGTCCTAGTTATAGTTATAACATAAGTTGTTTACGCTGATGCTATTTTTGCGAATTTTGAAATTTCAACACAAAATGCAAAAAATGTCACGGCGAGGATTCGAACCACGGACCACTTCGTCACTCCTTTGGTACTTGGTGGGCCGCTCAGAGAAAACTAAAATGGCGTTACGTATTCCATTGCGTACCTCTATATCCTGCGAAAAACCGTTTCGAGAAAGCTGTGCATTTCCTGAAAGAGTCTTCGTTAGGAGCACAGCGCAATTTAGTGTGTGGCTTGGAAATCCCACTGACTCTTAATTTCTGTGGACACTATCAAATGTTTGGGAAATCTGTGATGCGGTTTTCACCCATCTATTGTTGCATGTACAGGGGAGTGTACAGAAAAAGTTTGGGCTCATGGCGCACATCAGCGAAGTTTTCGTCACACAGAATACCACAGCTGATGAAAGTCTCACGCCAAAATATTCCTGGGTAAAGCCTCCATGCGAAGGCAAGCCTTTGTGCTACTTGCTCACTGCCCTCACCTATCTTCGAAATATGAGGCCTTCCGGCGTCGCCGTCGAGTTCAGGCAGGCCTACCGTCTTTCCATCATGCTAATGCTGCTACCTACATTTTTCTTAAATTGGTGGACAATTTTTCGAGAAGAGTAGCTCTGACCAAGCAAGACCTCTACCCACCAGCATTTCAGACAGCGTCGCAGTGTGTGATGATCCGCCTAGAAACTCGTTAAGCTCCATCCATGTTCTGTGGGCAGATTTTTTTTGATATCGCCCGTGCATTAGGCGATTATATAGCTGTAATAGATTTGAATGTGCTCTACAATCTCCATTAGGGAGGATCATTTGGGTTAAGCAGAATGTGACTAATTCTTTTCCAAATGTGGAGCTAAAATTCCTTTTTTTTTGCCCGCTCTTCCCATCGTCCATAAGATTTCTTTCCCTTAGATTGTTTTAACCGCCTACTTGCTTATGTGGGAACTACATTTTAGGAAGGGCCGTTTTTCTCGTAAAGTGACCCTCTGTCTGATCCCTTCGCAAAATGTTAACTCGTTTACTAAGAGGCTTATATTTTCAGTATGCCTGGATTGTTTTTGTACGACTACGTGAAACCAAAACACACTGTAGAAATGTTGGCTCAAAAACCAGGCGCGATTCCTCCGGAGAACCCCTATCGATTGGAGAAAGTGCCGTCGGAGGGTATACGATTATCGGATGCTGACAAATTTCTTAGCTAACACTGATGACAGGGCCATTTCCTATTTATAATCACATTTTCTCATGTTATGTATCAATTCTGGCATGCATCTCTCACCCTGTGAAATTTCTATATATTAGCAGCCTAATAGCCATTTGGCCGCCAGTATCTATATGGAAGATATGAAGTGCTCTAATAGACGCGTTAGGGAGCTCATGTCCTTTGGGAGGGGGGGGGAGGACATCTAAAAACAGGGCCCATGGTAGGTGAGACTAGGACCAAGCCCAGCAGAGGGGAGAAACGCTAGGGTGATCACATATTGTTCACATGCTCCCTCAGGATCCCTTCCCCCTCACTCACTCGGATGTCTCCACCCTCTCCCCCTCCCCCAAGAAGAGCGCCCCCATTACTCAGGATAAGGCCGGATTATCTTACCGGCTACTTTCACAGCTCAGATCCGGAGAGCAGTTACCATTCCGCCGTTTGACGGTATTTTAAGATGGGATTGTATTAGCTCTTGTTGAAATCCTTGGAAATTAGGAAGATTTAATTATATCTTGTCACTACGTAGGCTAGTCTACCGGCAGGTCTGTCAGAGTGGGGTCATTTTGGTCACAGGGAGTGACTGCTGCTGACAGAATTCAATTATTTTTTTATGCTGACGTCAACTTTGAACATCGACTTTGAGACCATAATGCCACCAAACAATTCTTCCTCAGCTTAAATCTAAAGATTCAAGTCGAGAAATGTCTCCATCGTTGCATCGTCTTTCTAAGTACCGGTAACTGAATTTATCTTGCTCCTTCGTTTTGCATGTTGAATATCGATAATGTAGATAATCTATTGTTAGATAGAATTGTAGTGCTTTAGAGAGTAGTGGTGTGGATGAAATTTTGCGCGTTCTTGAATTTCATATAAATCTGTTCTGCTCAAGTTTCCTGAGTATTAAAAAGTTCTAAGGTTTTTTTAATAATTGTTGTAAGTTGTTATTTTTGTTTGTTGATGTACATAAAGTTTAGATTTCGCAGATAAAGTTTAGATTTCGCAGAAATTTGTGTACTAAATGGCAAATGTGAAGGTTTTGTAAAATTCTAGCGTTTGTTACTCGATATTTGGTCGCCTTTTATAGATTTCTCTTACGTCTTCAATCTCATTTTATCTCGGTGTGGTCGATGATGCCTTTTTGTTTGCTAATCACTTGGAGCAGAGGGCAAAATGTTATGTCATCCGCAGGATTCGAACCTGCGCCCTCCGAAGAGGACTGCGACCTGAACGCAGCGCCTTAGACCACTCGGCCAGAAATGACCACAAGCCTCTGCTACGCGGAGGCGCTACTTCGCTTTTCGACGGGATGTTGATGCGAAAGATACACTAAAGGCAGCGGGAGGGGTTTGTAAGTTGCCCTCAAACCTGACTCGAGTTCTTTCTTTTTTCCTAATTTATTGGGTTGTAGAGCGGAAACGTCTGGCAGTTGTTCATTATTGTTTGCATTATTTCTGGACACTTTTGTTAACCTACTAACGCTTCTTTGCAAATCTTTGAACAGCGCTCCATCTTTCACGTAGCCACCCTTGTTCTCGAATAATAGTTTCCTTTTTTCTAAGCCTTCACAACAACCATATTATCTTCTTCGAGTGTGCAGGTTTTGGTATTTTTTTTTGTTCCCAACTCAAATCAGGGCAGAAGGCAGTGGATGCAGCTCATGACGTTTACTATTTGTTTGGTCTTTTACCCATGAAAAATGTTTTTTTTTCTTTCGATGCCTTGGGAGCGATATAGCCGTGAGTGGTAGTGTGGACCAAGCAGTAAAGGCGGCGTGGATGAAATGGAGGGAGTCCACAGGAATCCTCCACGATCGAGGGTGCTTCAGAACACTGAAGGAAAGGTGTATCGGGACAGTGGTGAGGCCTGCGATGCTATACGGCAGCGAGTGCTGGCCCCTGAACAAGAATCACGAAGACAGGTAGGCGTCACGTCCCGCGGGGGGGTGGCCATTGACGTGATCTGGGCCACTTGTGAATCGCCCGGGACTAAACCTTTAGAGAGGGGAAATGTTTCCAGGAGAGGATTTGAGCAACCATTGTGTTATCTCTGGTGTTTATCCCCAATCCTAGGCTTATTGTTAGTCCAGAGTGTCACCTAACCAGCGGTTTTTGGATGCCGTGTTTCGTATGTCCCCCTTAAGGACATGAGCGTCGGCAGCTGCACGCCGATGAGGAGAGCCTGCGGGGTTTTGGATGCGATCGGGCAGCATGAGGCACGCAAAGGCGACATGCAGGACTAACCCCTATGCCCTGAGGCTGTGGGAACAGCGCTGATGGTATGGGCACGTGCTAAGAAGGCTCAGAATCGTCCGATGGACTTTGAGTGCAAGTCAAGCGAGGAATCCCTGAGAAGAGATGTGGAGACGAAATCAAGAAGGACATTAGGGAGTTCACGGCCACGGTAGAAGATGCTCTGGACAGAGCAAGTGGCGACTACGCGGGACCAACGCTAGGGGGAGAAGACATGAGCAAGCTCGTTTCACGACTGAGCGCATAATGAGTGGGAGTTTTCTCACAACTGAAGCCAAGTGCAATATGCATGACTCTCCTGACCGGAATTGGTTCCCCAATCCTTTTCGTTCTTGCCGAAATTTCTCCCTAAAGTGTCTACCGTTCTGGGGCTCATTTCAGTGGTACTGAAATCCCGACCGAGAACGCTGCATACGGCCCAAAGGATAGGACTAAGGCCTTGAAATAATGGTTGTGTAATCTCAAAGAAACGTTAGTGTTTAAAAGCACAAAACTCCAAATCAGTCATACTCTTTTCATGGTTAATTGCCGCAATAGCAAATTTGGGTGGACCCTACGTACCCATCACCGTTCATCATACGGGAATCCACCCACATGGGCATACCACTCGCTCCTCCACTTCTATTTTCAAGTGCGTCAGCGGAGGAATTTTTTCAAGATGAGTGAGAAATCAATGGAGCATCAGCAACATTTCGTGTGAACTGTTTACTTGCAAACGAATCGTGGACAAAACTCAAATCACACTTCTTGATCATTTGCTCTGTGCACTCACGGAAAACAGAAACAAAACATAGAATATTTGCTGAAAAACTGTTTCGCAACACAAATACTTTAGCACAGTGTCGACAGCGTTTAAACAGTTCGATTGGCAGCCGTTCACACTTAAAAATCTCGGCGATATCTCAGATCCCGACGCTGGAATAAAGAGAGATGGGGCTGCTCGTCCAAGAGTAAGCATGTATAACTTTATTAAGACCACAAACCTTTTTAGCTTGGTAGGCGGAATAGGCCACCCAACTGACAAGAATTGCCACACCAGCCATAATAGCGAACTTCGTACGCTGGCAGCTCTCGTTAGTACACGCACACACCATGTTGTGGAAGCAAATGCATTCTCACCGCTCCATCAGGCTTTTATAAGCTGAAGGATGCAATATCAGTCAAGTGATTACGGTATGTTGAGTCAGCTGATGCCACCCGTGAAAAGAAAAGCCGTTCTAATGTAGCGTTCATAGTTGGCGATCGTAGGTGCGATTAGGCGATTAGGCGATGATTCAAAAAGAAAAGTATACGATCGATTAGGCGAGTAGGCGATAAGGGAAGGATACGTATTGATTTGTTGCTCCGCCCATTGAGCGATCGCCTAATCGCCTACTCGCCTACAACGCTCTATGGGCGGAGCAAACCAATCAATACGTATGTAGTCTTCCCGCCTAATCGCCTACTCGCCTACTCGCCTAATCGCCTAATCTATACGTATATTTTTCATTATAGACTAATCGCCTAATCGCACATACGATCGCCAACTCTGGTACGCTCCATAAGGCCACATTGCGTTCAAAGGAATAGAGCACTCAGGGTCCGATCATCTGTTCTCAAATTACAATTGTCTTTAGGAGATCACCGTAATGATGAGAACGGTCCCTTGCACTACAGCCCAATCCTCCTACAAGTGACACGTTCTTTTCGTCGACGTCAAGTATACAGGGTGGAAAAAAAGACATTTTGTCCTTGTCGCACTTCGGCCCTTTTTTCCATCGCGAGATCGCCGTCGTTTACAGAAGTTTCTTAGCAAATTATTCCCTGGATGTTCCTCTATAAGTAGACGCAGG